CCCCGACTCATAGCGACCCCTCCTTGGGTTTCCGAGGCAGTATCACTACGGAAGTAGGATTGCCCAACCTTCCTTCCGAGGAGTGGCTGGTGCTTAGATGACTAAAAAAAAATGCTGATTTGCTTATAAGAAGCAGAAAAGTAAAGAGGAAGATTTGCACTTGGTAAAGCTAGGAAAATGCTATGTTTTAACATTGACTTTTTTTTTTTTAGCTTAAGACTGAAACATCAGTCTTTTTTAGACTTGAGACTTGAGACTCTGCCTGGGCAGAGATCTCTAGCCACAGACTAGAAATGTATAGATTTGCTATGACATCATAGGTGAAGCCTTTGGAGTAGATGAGATTACAAAATGAGAACAGAATTGATGTGGGAATAGAATCTTGAGGAATGCCTACACTGAGCCAAATGGAGAGAGTGAAGAACCCTGAGTACTTGGAGTCAGAAGGGAAGGTGCAATGTCAAGGAAACAGAGAGAGAAAAACAAAACAAGATGGTTATCAAATGTCAAATATCTAAGAGGCAGTAGAAAATGAGCACTTAAAAATGCCATTCTATTTAATGTTAACTTGTTGATGAATTTAGAGAGCAGTGCAAATGATGTTTATAAAGGACTTAACAGTTTAAATAATGTAAGGGAAAATTTTTTGTTGCTTCATTTGTTTTTGAGATATATATGTTGAATCCAAGGCTTTAGTCCAAAGTAATTTGTCTGGTATCAAATAGATATCAAGTAAGTGATGGTGGTGAGGAGGCAGGCTTTCGCTCTCAGTTCAAGACCACTTCAATACATTCTGTTGATTTAATTTGAAACTATTCCAGCTCATTAAAACTGGAATCATTTCATCTAGAATTGTTTTCTAGAGGGAAAATTGAATATACTCCAGGGCCTCTAAATGAACAGCCTGTGACCCTGAAATATATCAAATTTACAATTTTGACTTCTTGATAATTATTAGTTTTCAGTATGTAGACCATCCAGGCTAGTATCTTTCCTGTAACCTAACTACAAAAATAATTTTATCAAACAACATGATTTTAAATATCTCATTTCTTTTTTAGGGGTGCAGTCCATCAGAATTTTGATGACTTCACTTTTGCAACTGGCCAAGTATTTGGATACTTATTCAAATTAAAAGGAGATATAGATTCAAATGTAGCTATTGATCTTACCAACAAAGCCTCACTAGCATTCTTACAAAAGCATTTAGGTAAGATATTAATATTCTTTCATGACATAAACAAAACTGTCTACCTTAACACAGTGTCAGTCCCATTTTCAACTGTCTCCAATTGGTTTACAGTTTAACATAACAGTAATGCAGTTTGAAAAGAAAAATTTGATAAATTAATATTTGCTGCTTTATAAGGAGCCTGAGTGGTACAACAGTAAAGCATTTGGCTAACCAAATGGTTGAAAGTTGGAACCCAGCAGAGTAGCTCTCAAAGAAAAGGATCTGGCAGTCTGCTCCTGTAGAGATTTCAGCCTAGAAAACCCTATGAGGCAGTGTTACTCTGCTACATGGGGTCACTATGAGTCAAAAATCGACTTACGAGCACCTACCAGCAACAATAACAGCACACTGTTTATCATAGAAGGAACTCTGGTGGCACAGTGGTTAAAGCATTTAGTTGATAACCAAAAGGTTGGTGGTTCTAACCCACCAGTTGCTCTGCAGGATATAGATGAGGCAGTCTGTTTCTGTAAAGATTCACAAACTTAGAAACCCTATGAGACAGTCCCACTTGTTCTAAAGTGTCACTGAGTCTGAATTGACTTGATGGCAGGGGGTTTGGTTTTGGTTTTTGGTTTACATATCACAGAGAGCAAGTCTTCCTGTGAAAACTAATAGTCTTTCTGTGAAGAGTGGGGTGGGTTTCTATGCTGCAGTGCCTTGATCCTATCTCTACTCACGTGCAGCTGCTTAATTTGAAAGCTGATGGACAGGAATACCTAGGCTCTACAAGCACAATTCATTTGTATAATTTGTGATTTGTGATTCTATAGTGCCACCTAGAGGCATCAGCTGTTGAATGCTCTCAAATTTTGACGTGCTTATTAACATTTATGTTTTACAGGACTTCAGAAAGATTTTGATCAGTGGGACTCTTTGATTGAAGGGGAAGATGAAAATCTTATTCCAGGGACCAACATTAACACAACCAGCCAACATGTCACCACTCTACAGAACCTTACAGAAATAGGGAAATAGAATTTAGAAGACCTTAATTAAAAAGTCTTGTTTTAAAACAGTCTGAGAATATATATATGTGTGTGTGTGTATATGTTTATATACATATGCACATGCATACATAGACCCATACACATATGGATGACACCTAACAAGAATGTATATATATATGATTTAACCATATTGTCCCAAGTAACATTAAAAAAATGTAGTCTATACCATAAAAGTGAATGAAGCTAAGATTAATATTTTTTCTTTAAATGTAAAGACAGAATGTGCTATACAAAATCATATCTCCCTAAATTTTAACTTTACTAAGATGATAATTTTTAGTATCAAATTAAAAACTGCTTTTACATTATGTATTTTAATGGAAAAGTACATTAAAACAGACACAATACCAATGAAAACATATTCCAATGACGTGAGGCTTCCTAAAAATGCAATAAAAATTATTTTCTCACAACATGGTTATCTAGGTACAATTTATATTTGGCAGCACTTTGGGTTTTGGTCCTGGTCAGAAAAATTAAATCAAAGAGATAATAAAGGCATTGTTTTTCCACAGGATTTGCAAACAATACTATACAGTTTCAATATGAAGACTAAATAGGGTGTAGACAAGGGGAAGAATATTGGAGCTAGGACAACGGCAGCTGATTAAAGGCAAAGTTGATAATTTATTTGTGTTTTGATTCTATATCTTTGATGCATTTTACTTACTAGAGAAAACAGATCCCTTAGTATTACATCTATAAACAAACAGGGCAAGTATTCTAGTTATAACACCTATTTATGTACTCAACAACTGCAAAAGAAAATGAAGAAAACATTCAAAAGTACATTTAATGGCTTTATTTTCTAATTACTTTTATTTAATGGATGTTTTCAGTTCTTTATGTGTTGTTGTTGTTGTTGTTGTTATGTGCCGT